AAAAATTATGAGAAAAGGAAAAAATGGAAACAAAGTCTTTGTAAATAGGGAAGGGTGGAGGGAGTGAAAGGCGCACAGGGAATGGGGAAAAAATTAGAACCAAGATACATCATGTACAGGTACAAGCACCCAATGATAAATGTAAACGTATTGTATACCTAAAATGTACCAATAAAAGAATTTAAGCAAAAAACCCAAAAAAACCAAAAAACTACTTCTCCTAATGGAAAACTGTGGTATTCCTACTCAAATTTTGAAATTTGGTTGGTAATTAATACTGTTTCAGTATTTAGAAGTAACTATGGTGTTACTTACTAGCATAACAGTAAGGACTCTACTTTCACCATCTCATTTTCTGAAACCATATCCAGTGGTAGAGCAAGTGAAGCCCATTTTATAGATGAGGAAACTGATACTTAAATGTGAAGCTACAGAACCACCAAATAGCATTACCAAGAGTAGAATTCAGGGCTTTTTGTTTGTTTTGTTTTGTTATGTGTTTTGAAACAGGGTCTCGCTGTGTAGTTCAGGCTGGATTTAAACTCACCGTGTAGCCCAGGCTGGCCTAGAACTCACAGTGACCCCTCTGTCTCAGCCTCCTAAGTGCTTGGATTACAGGTGTGCACCACCACACCCAGCAAGTTCAGTTTTTCTAATAACCGGACTACAGCCCTGCAGTAGATTGCAGTGTAGACAATATATTTTATTCACATTACTTCAAAGCATTTTTCAATACCTACTAGTAGGCTTTCTGATAAGTGCTCTGAATAAGAAACGGAAGAGAAGAGTGTGTTTCTTGCTCCCAGGATGGACACAGGGAAAATGGAATGTGCACAGATGATAACAAACATAAAGTGAATGGGTGAGTAATAGAGCTAGACAGAAGAAATGGGGAGAGAAAGGAGGTAGTGAAGAAAGGGAGAAAAAAGAAAATATAGAAAGATCACAGTAGGAATAACTTTTAAGAGTTTTGACCAGATGTTATTTGACAGAGTATGATATCTTGAGAAGTTATTTTTTCCTTTTCACTTGTGTAGCAGTGGATGGGATGATAAGAGGCAAGAAAAGTGAACAGATTGCAGATGAGAAAAGTAAAGAAAGTCAGTTATTTATGCCCTGAGGTAGAGGTGGATTTGACACTTCCTGATCCATGTGTCATCTTGGATGTTCCTGTACAGAAGGAAGACAGAATTATACTTAAGAAAAATACTTATTTCCCTTCAGTAAAAACTAAAATGCTCTGCTTTACTTTTTTTTTGGGGGGGGTACCGTGGTTCGAACTCGGGTCCTTGCCCTTGCGATACAGGCGGCATAACTACTGAGCTAAATCCCCGGCTCTGCTTTACTTACTTTATTGAGAGGGGTTTAATCAGCACTTCACTGAGCTTTGGGGTCATAAGGATTGACTAGAAAACAACCCCTCCTGGCAGTAATTGAGTTTGAGCCTTGTGAAACTATTGCCTCTGCTAAGTGAGGTCAGCCCCTCCTTGCTCAGTGTAATAATGTCCATTTTCTACTACTTCTTTCCTGTAGCAGGAAATGCATTTGGAACAGCAATTACTAAATTCTTGCTATTTTAACATTTATTTAAAAATGTCCTACCTACTTTTTAAAGGCGTTTAAAGCAATTTAGTAAAAGACACTTGTAAAAAAAAATACATATATTGTAGAACTGTTTGAACTGGAGATTAAAGTTTGAAACCTATTCAATGGAATGGGATGATAATAATGATTTATCATCTAATTAGCAGTTGATATTTTTTTAAATGCCATGTACTACAGGCACTCTTTCATTTAATTCTTAAAAATAATTCTAAGAAAAATTATTGATCCTCAGTATGATCTTTTCAGTAGAAAGTGATAGAATGAGCATGGAGAGCAGGGCAGATGATAAAGGGAGAGGGATAGGTAAATAAATACCAGAAACTTACCACTGTAACATTACCTACTTACCTACTACTGTAACCTTTATTTTGGGGTGCTTTTTTGTTTTTTTTGGTCCTTGGCCTGCCCAAAATATGAGCTATATTTGAAACATTAAGACAAGTAAACTGTATACCAAAAATTTTAATGTCATATCTATCCTAAAAATATATATGAGCTGGGCACTGTGGTACACACCTATGGATGGGAGAATACCTTGAGCCTAGGAACTAGAGGGCTGTAGTGAGACTGTCTTAAAAAAAACCCAGAAAACCATGGATGAATGTTTCTTCGTTTGGTTCTGTGCATACTGCATCAGTTTGTTCTCTCACCAGTGATTTATGACAGACCCACACAGATAAATGGTGTTGTTAAATTTTTAATTTTTTGGCAGGTTGGATAGAGTATTCCATTGTTGTTTTGATTTGCTTTTCTTTAAGTGTAGCATCACATATTTATTGGACATTTTATTTCTTTTTCTTTTAATTTCTGTGTTCATCATCTGCCATTTTCTATTGGTCTGTTCATATAAGTTCTTGGTAAATTAAGGAGATTGGCTAGTTTATTATATGTGTTGTAGATACTTTCTATACAATGTTCTTATTGTGGCTTTATGTTGTTGTTGTTGTTTTTAATGCTGGACATCAAACTCAGGACCCTCATATGCTAGGCAAGTGTTCTATTTTAAAAATAAAAGTTTTTTTAAAATATAAAAAACCTTTTTAATTAGCAAGGAATCTGTGGCACGATGTCATGACACTGTACAGATGCAGTTTCCTTTAAACCTTTCCCTTGGTGGCTTTGCATTCTAATGATAAGACACCTAAATCAAATATTTGTGTAGTATCTGCAAAATAGTAATTTTTCAAATTCAGTGATTTCTTTTACATTTTTTGTCATACTTTCTTTTGTAACAGAGCTTTCCCTGTCTTGTCAGCCATGGCTTTTTGGTTACCTTAAAATGTAGTTCCTACTGAAAAGGCAGAATAAATGCTTACTTTTTTTCTCTTTACAAGTCTTTTCTTTTTCCATATTCTATTCAGATGAAGATGTTTGGTAGAGCTTTTGTAAGTTAGAGAAAGTCATTCTGGTTAGAAACTCACTGCCAGTATATTTAGCTAAATATACAGAAGAATTAAGACAAGATTTTTCTTAGAATAATTGAGAAAGCCACTTTAATCCTTTTAAGTATCACGAAATATCAAACTGAAGGAATCTTTTAAAGAAAGAGGCCGCTTTGACTGTGGTACCTGTGCTTTTTTTCTTATAGAAATTTGAATTGATATTTTTTTAATAGAGAACAAACTTTACCAGCTTCCATATTACATTTTATCTTTTATATGGCCTTTCGTACTGGTAGTAAAAATTTTTGACTGGAAAATAGTAAAAAAAGTTCCATTTGTGCTTGTTTACAGAAACACTGTGGTTTTTTTTTGTACCAGAGATCAAACTTGGGACCTTGTGCTTTCGAGGCAGGTGGTGGAACCACTGAGCTAAATCCCTGGCCCTGCAAGAACACTTTTTGTATCATGATTTGGAATTAACCACTGAGCTAAATCCCCGGTCCCATAGGTTTTTAAAATTAGAATTTATTTATTAAAGTAACAAACTGAGAAACATAGTTCTTTGTATTTAATTCAATTTACAGAAGTTAGCATACTATTTTTTATATATATTATTTTATTGGTACATTTTAGGTATACAATATAATGACGTTCATCATTGGGGATTTGCATCTTTACACACTGTATCTTGGTTCTTATTTTTTTCCCCATTCCCCTGCCCTCCAACCCCTCGATCCCCCCATATTTACAAAGATTTTGTTTCCATTTTTTTCATTTTCTCATATTAATTCCATTCCCTTCTTTCCTTTCCCCTATCCCTCCAACTTTCCCTTTGCCCCCCACCCCCCATTTTTAAACTTTTTTCCTTTTTTTGGTACTGGGGATTGAACTTGGGGCGGGGCGGGGGGGGGGGCTTGGGCCTATGAGGCAGGCGACGGAACCACTGAGCTAAATCCCCAGCCCTGCCCTTTTTCTTACTATTTCACATTATCTATTATACCTTTTAGTCCTTATTTACACTTTCAGTTTCTCACACTAGAGAAACTGATTGGTATTCACACATGTGTGTCCTATTAATTTCACTTAAGAGTATTAGCTCAATCTGCATCCATTTAGCTATAAATGCCTCTAATTTCTCATTCTTTATGGCTGAGTAATACTCCATTTTATTAAAAAACCACATTTTCTTTATCCAGTCTCCAGTTGATGGGCAGTTGGGCTATTTCCAAGTTTTAGCTATTACAAATTGTGCTGCTATGAACATGGGTGCACTTATCACTGTGGTATGATTCTTTTAATTCTTTGG